TTCCATGGGGAGGAGTCCTTCGTAGAAGTATTGAATGAGCAGCTCCTCCTTCATTTGATGCTGTGGACAAGAAGCAACAAGTGATTTAAAACGTTCATAATAAGAAGGAAACGATTCACCTTGATTTTGTTGGATACCACTAATCCGTTTCCTCAAGAGAATGATTCTTGAAGTTGGGAAAAACTTCTCCAAGAAAGCTCTTTTCATACTATCCCAAGATGTAACCGTTCCGGGTGCTAATTCGAAAAGCCAATCCTTTGCTTTTTCCAAAAGTGAGAACGGAAAAGCTTTCATCATCAGAATGTTCCCGTCAACATTTATGGGTGTCATGCTCGAACAAACAACCTCGAACTCCTTGAGATGCTTGTTGGGATCTTCCATGGAAAGCCCATGGTATTTCGGAATGTGGTGTAACAAACTTGACTTCAACTCGAATTCATCGGTCTTGCCTTGGGCGGCCGCGGGGTATTGAATGCACAATGGTGCGGCATTGGCCAATCCAGAAGCGGAAAGCTCCTTGATTGTTCGGTTTTCTGCTGCCATGTCTTCTTCACCCACTGTTATCTTGGGTTCTTCTTCAGATTCAGAAACGGACTCGGAGCTTTCGCTTAATTCGCTAGGTTCTGAGTTCTTTCTCTTTCGTCTTAATTCTCGCTCGAAATCGGCGTTAAAGCTTGAGATATGTTCACGAATCGGATGAGAACTCCGAGTCATAAACTAGTACCTAAAACAAGAAACAAAACAAGATTAAAAATCTGAAATAAAATAAAAACAAAAGGAAATGAAACAATCCAAGAGATTAGCAAAATTGCTAATCCCCGGCAACGGCGCCAAAATTTGGTGCGAGAATTATATGCACACAAATTAAACCCTCTTTTTGTCAATTGTAGTGAAGTGTATAAGTAGGGATCGTTCTGGACCGGGGATTAGGAGGGATTGTTAATCACTTGGATTTGACTTAAAAACGTAAAAACACAATATAAAACAATATTTAATGCTCAAAGAATGCAAAACTAAAAATAAGAAAGATTAAGACTAAAACTTAAACAAAATAAGGGGGGATTGGATTTGGACGAATTTACTAAAATAAATACTTAGACACAAAACAAATTGTGAATATGGATTTGACGGAAATGAATGGATGGGAAGCTAGCTAAGGGGTTCTTCTCCACATATGTTATACTTGCATACAAGATTGATTCTCAGTTGGTCTTTCGATAAATTAAGATACTCAACACTCCGGATTAATTAGGTCCGCTTAAATTAACCGTCAAGTTTTCCTTAAGTTAATGAATTGGATGGGTTTGCGCAACGCAATTCACAACATTCTTCAAAAGTCCTTTACGTGAATAGCACAATAAAGATACAATCAAAGATCATTAAGCACTATGAAAACTATAAGTGTTGACGAGGCATTCGTTACTATGATGAGCATGAAACTCGTGCCAAGAATATGTTTAACACGATTGTTTAAAAGCAACCTCCACTACTTGTGAATATAAGTTCATAACGATTAGGTGAAATTCACTTATATTCTAGCGTCATATTTATGCATGAAAATTAAGCGCGCATTCTTAATAAACATTCATAAATAAGCTATCAATCAAACGGTTAAACAAATTGAATCCACAACTTATGAAATTCCAACGAAAGTTAATCAATTCATATTGCAAATATAAACATAGTTTCGAATCACCCCCTACCTAAAGGGGGTTTAGTTCCTCATAACCTTGAAATCAAAGAAACACCTAAACATTCCAACAACTCAAAGCTTGAATTGTATGAACGTTTAAGCACTCTTCTCTTCCATACATACAACACAAAGAGAATTAAAATGAAACTTTGAAATCAAAGAAACACCTAAACATTCCAACAACTCAAAACTTGAATTGTATGAACGTTTAGGCACTCTTCTCTTCCTCGTTGTTGTAGCACAAGGTTTAAGGGATGTTGTTGGTGTATTGAATGGATTGGGGAATTTATGGAAATGGAAGAAATGGAGGAGAAATGGAAGGGAAGCTTGCGGCCAAAGGGAGAGGAATGGATGATCTTGAAGAGTGTTGTGTTGTGAGTGAAAATGAGGAATGCCTTGAATGATGAGAATGCAAGGTATTTATAGGAGTAGTGGAGGGAACATATGGCTGCAATGCATGTGATAAAAGACTAGGAAAGTGGGTGGAAAGCTGAAATTTTCACAAGGGGGCCAAAGGGATCCCACGGCAAAGGAAAGAATTTGATGCATGTGGGCTGATTTGTTTGTTGAAGAAACATGTGTTTGGGAAGCTTTCTTGCTCATTTTCTGGATGCAATGATGAAAAGTTTAATAAATAATGCATGTAGGTGGCTGAAATGATGAAGAATGAGTGGTGGAAATGCAAGGGAAAGCTAGAAATACATGTGAAGATGTTGGAATTTCACAAGGTGAAGTGCACGGCAATGATGCTTGTTTGTTGATGAAAATGTGTTGGTTGCATGTTTGTGGATGAATGGGGTGTAAAGGTGGCTGCAAGGTTGAATGATTAAATGTGCATGTGGGTTGAAATGCAAGGTGAATGAATAATGAATGCATGTGTTGATGAAATTACATTTGGAAAGCTGAAATGTGGAGGGGATGCACGGCATGGATGTTTTGGTGTGTGAATGGTTATTGTTTTGCATGTGAAGTGTGTTGTGAATGTATGTGGGTTAAATGATTAAAGGGGGTGGAAGATGGATGAATGATGGATGAATGGAATGAAATGTGTATGCACGGTTTTGGTATGGAGAAAGGGTGAATGTGCATGTGGGAGATGGAATGGAATGTATGTGAATTATGTTGGGAAAGCTATGAATGTGCATGGCACAAAGGTGTGGATGATTTATGAATGCATGTGGGTGAATGATTTGTGGTGCAATGATGAAGAGTGAATAAAGAATGCATGTAGGGTTAGCTAGGAAAGTGGGAATGTGGTTGAATGATTAAAGGGACATGCATGTGGCTTGTTTGATTGCTTGGTGAGATGATGCATGCTTGTAGTTTAGGGTGTTGAATATGGATTTGCATGGCATTTGAATTGATTGTGGGCTTTTGGAATTGGAAGGAAATGCATGGCAAAGGGCTTGGTTTAAGAGAGAATGGGCTAGGCCCTTTGTTTTATGTCCAAAATGAATACAAGGCCTTCAAATTCGTCCAACATTTTGGCTCCAATCATATGCCATCCATTCCAAGCCCAATTTTGCTCCAAAATGCTCCAAAATGCATCTTTTTTTCTTCCTTAAGCCCTTAGAACCTGAAAACACACAAAAGAAGCATAAAGGACTAAAATAACTAGAGAAACATAACGTAAATGCACGAGAACAAGCCGTTTAAGTCGCATGAATATGCTCCTATCACTCATGCACTTGTTTTGGCACTCCTAAATGATAGTGGTAATTTCGAAGTTTACAGTGATGCTTCCTTAAATGGTCTGGGATGTGTGTTAATGCAACATGGTAGGGTGATTGCTTATCCTTCATGGCAATTAAAGCCTCATGAGTTGAATTACCCTACGCATGATTTGGAGTTAGCGGCCATTATGTTTGCTTTGAAGATGTGGAGACATTATATTTATGGAGAATAATGTAAGATCTTTACAGATCATAAGAGTCTTCAATATCTTTGCACTCAGAGAGACCTTAATCTTTGTCAGCGGAGATGGTTGGAATTTCTTAGTGATTATGATTGCACGATTGATTATCACCCTGGTCGTGCGAATGTGGTAGCTGATGCACTTAGCAGAAAATCTCAAGGCCGTATTAATGCGTTGTACGCTAGTCATGTTCCTCTTCTGGCAGATTTAAGATCAACTGGAGTGAGGTTAGAGGTAGAAGATCAGGAGGTAGCCTTACTTGCTAATTTTCAAGTTAGGCCGATTTTAATTGATTGTGTACTTGAAGAGCAGATGGTTGATGAAGAGACCCAAGAAATAATTCAAGCAAGGAATCAAGGGAAAAATAAAAACTTTAGAGTTCGAGATTCAGATGGCATGCTTATACAGGAAAGTAGAATGTTTGTGCCGAATAATTTGGAATTAAAGAAAGCAATTCTTGATGAAGTGCATATCTCAGCTTATGCAATGCATCCAGGAGGTACTAAAATGTATCATACCATTCGACCATTCTATTATTGGTCGGGTATGAAAAGAGAAATAGCTGATTATGTGAGTAGATGTGCCATTTGTCAACAAGTTAAAGCTGAAAGGAAGAAGCCATTTGGGTTGCTGCAACCGCTTCCCGTTCCAGAGTGGAAATGGGAAAATATTACTATGGATTTTGTGTACAAGCTTCCGCGTACACATAATGGTTTTGACGGCATTTGGGTGGTAGTTGATCAGCTTACTAAGTCAGCGCATTTTATTCCAGAGAGGGAAAAATATTCTTTAAGCCGATTAGATGAAATATTCATATCAAAGATTATGAAGTGCAATGGTATTCCAGTGAGTATTGTCTCGGATTATGACCCAAGATTTACTTCTAAATTTTGGGTGGCTTTTCAAGAAGTTTTGGGTAAGAGATTACTCTACAGTACGGCATACCATCCTCAGATAAACGGACAATCAGAGAGGACAATTTAGACGTTGAAGGTTATGTTGAGATCTTCGGTGTTGCAGTTTGGCAATGCTTGGCACAATCGGTTGCATTTAATGGAATTTGCCTACAACAATAACTTTCATTTGAGTATCGGCATGTCACCATTTAAAGCACTATATGGTAAATCTTGCTGAACACCATTGTGTTGGTTAGAAGTCGAAGAAAGGGTTTTGGTGGATCCATAAATTGTAGATGAAACTACTCAAAATGTTCAGGTAATTAAGTCTAACCTGAAGGTGGCCCAGGATCAACAAAAGAGCTTAGCGGACCAGCATGCCATTGACATAGTGTATGAAGTAGGTGATTGGGTGTATCTGAAGTTGTCACCGTGGAGAGGTGTAGTGTGGTTTGGAAAGAAAGGTAAGTTAAGTCCCAGGTATATCAGATCATATATGATCATCGAGCGAGTTGGTGAAGTGGCATACAGGCTTGAGTTACCTTCTGAACTGGCTAGAGTACATAATGTTTTTCATATGTCCATGCTTCGTCATTACGTTGCGGATCCATCGCACGTAATACCTCCTCAACCATTAGAAATTAATCCGGATTTGACATATGACGTGGAACCAGTAATGATTCTGGATTGGAAGAAAAAGGTTCTAAGGAACAAGACGGTGAGATTAGTGAAAGTTTTGTGGAGGAATCACTCTATAGAGGAGACTACTTGGGAAGCGGAAGATCGAATGAAAGATTTGTATCCTCGGTTGTTCTACGATTACTAGTGGGTAGTTTGAGTTGTTTTGAATTTCGGGATGAAATTTCTTAAGGTGGTTAGGTTGCGACAGTCCGTTCCGAATTATTCATACCTTAGTTATGAAATGATGATTTTACCCCTAGTGGTTATTTGTCATTTTGGGTGATTATTTTGTGGTTTTGTTGGTTGCATCTGGACCACACATTCTCATCCTTATCTCATCCCCCGTGTACCTCTCTCTATCTCGAGCTCTCTCTCTCTCTCTTCTTCTCCCTTTGTACGGACGAGATCCAAATCCCCTGCAAACGTCACAGATTGAAGTGGGAGTTAATACCTTTGTGTTCGTGAAGACTATATGAGTTCAACCATACCAATTTCAGGTAAGGAATCCTTCGATTTCACGTTGAACCAGGAATCTCCGTTTTGGTCACTGTTCATGCACACGTGAAATGTTGTATTTTAGGGAAATTGAAGCTTATAGGAAGCTTATAGGTATAATGTTGTTCTACTCATCTCCAGCTTTCCATTGGTGTAAATTTCATAGAAATTGGTGAAGAAATGAGGTGAGAACGAAGGGTTTAAAGTTTTTCCAGTTTTCCAGCGACCGACGATTCGCAGAGAAGATGACAGTATATTCTGTCAGTTTTGGACAGAATATGCTGACGCCATCTATCAGTTTTAATGGAATTTGTTAGGGTTTAACGAAATATTCCTGACGCAGTCAATGTGCCTGGCACGTGGCCTCGCATGGGGGGGCGCGTAGGTCTGTGCACTCGCCGGCGCGTGGTGGTGTGTGGAGCATCAGAAAATTATTTTAAAAATATGGGGTTGTTCGTGAGGTTAAGTAGGTCATGTTGGTGTTTTCATACACCCCATTTGAGCATTGTATGAGAAGTTATTACCTAGTTTTGGTTATGTGCTTTACTTGACATTTTTATAGTTATTTTGCATATAGATGAGACTTATCTTGAGGACGAGCGCAGTCACTCAAGGCTCGGGGGTTACGACCCTCCCATATATCGGTGAGTGGGCTTTTGGTTTTCCATATATACCTATATACTTGTGGTTTTTCCTAGAAAATGAAATGGAATGTTTATATATTTTAAATGCCATGCATAGTCTTTGCCTATTTTATTTATGCATTAGTAGTTGCATATATTTTTGATTGGTGCTGCGGACGCACATGTAAGTATCAGGTAAGTTTATAGATTATGGTTGTGAATTAGTGGTTATGTGAGATGCATAGAGAGCTCATAACCTGCACCCCCGGTGTTAATGCTCCCGCCCAAAGTTAGGGCACAGTCTTTCACGGATGTTCACCTCCCGCACCATACGCTCACCTTGGATCCAAGTTAGGTGCACATTTGTCGTACATACTACTTTAGGTGGTTTCGACTCGTAGGTGACCCGCGATTATTCGCCCAGTTTTCACGTGATCGTAGCACTTGAGCGTAATTATTTACACCCAGTCCTGTCGTATAGACCACTTTAGGTGGTTCCAACTCGTGTGCAGGTATAGTTAGTGAGTTGGGGATTTGAGCTCTAGATTCAGCAGTATAGGTCACGTTAGGTGACTCCAGCTAACATGTTACTTGCATTGATTGACATTACCTAGGTTACTTACATTTTATGTGGAGGCATTCGACATGGCATATTTCTGAACATATTTTTGCTATATGTGTATATTTTATTTTCTGGGAAACTACACAGGTTTTACGGCCAGGGGTTAGAACTTTTGATAATGAAATGATTTTGAAAAGCATTGTTTTTGTCCACTCACACTTTCTGTTTTGCGCCCTTCCAGGTTCTAGTTAGAAGCAGCTTTGGTATGAAAAGACGTTGAACACAAATGATCGCTTGGAGGCCCTATTAGCATTTGCTGAGAAGCGAAAGCCAAAGTATAATGGAGATTACGATGATAAACTTGCTATAATTTGTCTGGATAAGTTTCTTGGTTGGGCAGAAATAAACTTGTTAGCAATGATAAGTTGACAGGGCAGTAGAGGTCTTAATTATATTTGATCATAATTTACTATTTAATGAATAGCTGATTAAATATTGTGTTTGAGTGTCTATGGATTGAATGTGTTCCTTAGTGAATCTAATAATTGTACTCCTCAATATAGTTCCTTTTTACACTATAACAATCAATGATCTTCGCTGAACAGAGGCTCGTTTCTCAAGAAAGTATCTTTACTCAGAAAAACTTGTTCCTAATTTCACTCCATTTAGTTTAAGTGTGTTCGGGATCTCATGCTTGGAATTAATGTTGGTGATGAAATAGGATACATTTATTTTAGTGTTTTGACAGAAAGATGCTGAACTTGTCTGTGTTTTGTGTTATCTTTAGTACCAAACATGTTTGTGTTTTGTATCATCTTTAGAACCCCACCTTCAGCTTGTAATGGATGTATTGTCATATGAAATGTGATCAACTTGACAATGGTTATGAAAAACACTTATCAAATGTTTAATTACTCACTTCATTGCTTAGTAACAGAGTGCTAATGTGGAAAGCCTCACTGAAAAAATCATCAATGTAACGCTTGAAGACAATATATCAAGCCAAAGTTCCAATACTGTTTCACATGGTGATTGAGGAAAATTGAACGGTTTGATTGGAAGAAAATGTGCAAGGTTCCAATGTTGTGATTGAGGAAAATTGAAGGGTTTGATTGGTTCCAATGTTCTAATGTTCCAATGTCCTTAATTTGCAAATCTTTTGAACATTTGATATTTTGTAATGTTCTAATTTTTTTATTTTTTTATTATGCTCTTATTTTGGGTATGTAAATATATACTTAAAAGAAAAATGCGTTTTTATGTTTTGGATGTGACAATATGGTATGTATATACTTATTTAGTATTATGATTTTCATTTGATTATTTATTGATTTAACATATATTTTCCTTAACGGGTAACGGATCGAGTCATATTACCTGTTAATATTATCGGGTCGATTTCGGATCAGGGCATTACACGATATTACCCATTAAGATACCAAGTATGACATGAAAATAACACGAACACAGAAAACACGACATGAATGTCAGGTTTACCTAAAGATCATATTTCCTAGGAGAAGGATTACATTATTGACCATGAATCATGTCTTTTCGGCAACAAAAGATGCAGTATTCAAATTGAAGAGATGTGATTGTTGTGTCAATAATAGGGTTGGGCACGGGCCGGGCCGGGCCCAAATTTGGAAGAACCGGACCTACCCGTTTTAAAATGTAACGGGCCTGGCCGGGCCGGGTGTAGGGATTTTAAGTTTGGGAACCGGACGTAACCCGGCCCGTATCAAACGGGCCGGTTCGGGACGGGTCCACGGGTCCGCTTCAGAAAACTTGTAAAAACCCGGGACAGAGCTCCGCGGATAGTCCGAATTCGGGATTAGGATCGGAAAATAGTCCGGTAAAGGGTCTGAGTCCGGGTCTGATTATCCTAATCTCGGTGGCGGACGCCGCCGGATTAGTCGTCGTTTACATTTACTGGAAAAAGAAAGACGACGAGAACGGATGCAGTTGTACGGGAAAGAGCAAATTTGGCAGCAACGAGAAGCGCCACCTCTGTAATCTCTGGCATCTCTGTTCTTGCACTTGCATCAATGGCGGGTTCGGGAACCAGGATTCGGATTCGGGCGACCCGGAAAAGGCAGAGAGGGGAAAAGGGGAGGGGGATCTCGTCGCGATCGACAAAGGGTTCACATTCGAGCTGGACGAGCTGTTGAGGGCGTCGGCGTACGTGCTGGGGAAGAGCGGACTGGGGATCGTGTACAAAGTGGTGCTCGGGAATGGAATCCCGGTGGCGGTGAGGAGGTTGGGGGAGGGCGGGGATCAGAGGTATAAGGAGTTCGCGGCGGAGATTCAGGTGATCGGGCGGGTGAAGCATCCGAATGTGGTGAATTTGAGAAAGGGTTGGAGTGTTGGAGAGATCGAGATTGAACACTGAAGTCTGAAACTGATTTGGAAACCTAGGTTACAAATTAACGGTTCAGATTAAATGATAGGTTATCATTCAATCTCAACCGTTGATTATAATATGAAACGGGCCGGTTCGGGGCCCCGTTTTTCTAATGTGTAGGAACCGGCCCGCCGCGTAAATAACCATGCCTCGGCCCGCCCCGCCCCGTTTGTTCCCAAAAAAAAAAGGACCCGACCCGTACCCGCCCCGAACCTACACTACCCGCCCTTACCCGCGGTTCCTCTACCCGTTTGCCCACCCCTAGTCAATAACCCAATCCCATCCTCTGTCAAACAGCCCCACATATATATATATATGTATGTATGTTTGTATGTATTATTATTATGTTCTTAAACCATACACCACACCTCGTACGGAGAGTAACTCCACAAGGCTGTGCCATGGTCAGAGAGGCTCCACAAGGAGTGGTCCATAGCTGGAGGAGAATGTATGGAAATGGTAAGACGGGAAGGTTTCACAAAAACTTAACGGGTATAAGACTGTGTTTAAAGAAAATTGATTTTAGATTATTCCCCGCTTAAGAATGATCTCCTCTAATAAGAACTATAAATGTTATTGCATTGTTAAATAACCAAGTGGTTTATAATTTGTTTTATTTGTAAGGATAACTTCTTGAGAATATGAATATCACATTGTGGAAAAAAGAAACTTTACATTGGGGTTGGGCAAATAAGTATAGGAACCGCGGGTAGAGGTTGGTAATTCAGGTTCGGGACGGGTCCAAAATTTCTAAACACAAAACGGGATGGGACGGTTCGGGTATACAAAATTAGCAGGGCTGGGCAGATCCTAAAATAGGAGGGAACGGGCCCTCGGCCCGGCCTGTTTCTAGCATACTTCGATCTCATCTTAATTGGGTTTGAGGCTTTGAGCTCAGGGGCTCCTCTCATTTCACTCAGAACCAAACTCGCTCCCAAAACCTTTCTCTACACAAGCCCCAAAAACATAACTCGCTCCCACCGTCCCATCCCAACTCCATCTTGGCCAAGCATGTGCATTATACCCCGGATCGCACGGCTCTTGGCCACGCAGATCAACATGACGACGCTCTGCTTGGTGCCTTCAATGGCAGACTCGCAAGCCCGCCGAAGCTCCTGGTCGTCTGCGCTCGATTTCGCCATCGCCGGTGGTGGTGGTGCTGCACTCGATGGATCTCAATCGGATTCTGCTGTAGTTTAATGGTAAAATATATAGATCTGGGTTTCTGAGTTCAAGGATTTAGGACTTTTGAATTAGGATTTCTGAAATTTCTGGGTTACTGAATTTAGGGATATAATTTCTAAATTTTCTAGATTTAATTGGTTTTGGTTTTGATTTTAGTTTATCTTTGGAAAATCATGCTGTAAAGGATCTTGCTGGATTTGTTGAAGTCTTCTTTTTATCCACTTTGGGGGCTTGATTTGGCTTAATTTCAGGCCACTGGTTCGAGTTTGGTGGTCCTTTTGATGGCAGCAGTGGCAGAGGACGCATGCTGTTAGGGTTTTTTCTGTTTTTCTATTGGGCGTGGTTCGTTGTCATTTGGGGTCCATACTTTTGTTGTTGTGTTTGTATTGCATGTTAGCCTCTCTCTTGTCAATGGATGTTGTTGGTAATAAAAAAAGCAACCCAATGTTGGACCAAAAAAATAAATTAAAAAAACCGAAAAAAAAAAGAAGAGAAATTGGACCCGTGAATCTGTTCCTAACCGGTCCATTGGAAACGGGTCCGATTAGGTTCGATTCTCAAACTTAAAATTGCTCTACCCAGCCCGGCTTGCCCTGTTACCTTTTAAAAAAGGTAGGGTGAGGTTCCCTTAAATTTGGGTCCGGCCCAGCTTGTGCCCAGCCCTACTTTGCATAAGCTTATAAGTAGTTGGCCTACTCCTCGTATTGTTAATTAATTTTACGATGTAACCTTAATTTTTTTCATGGTATCAAATTAGGTTGTTCGATATATGAAGCCCAGCGGCCAGAGGTCAACCAATTTGTGTTGTTAAGCTTTAGAATTAGGCAAGTAAGAGGGCGTGTTGAGAGCATAAATTCCACATCTGGGAAAAATGGACCTTTCATGTGTTTATAAGAAATTAGGCTACCCCCTCATATTATCAATTGATTTTATAATGAAACCTCTATTTGGACCTAGATACGTCCATCCATATGAACTCAACCATTGGTGGAGGAGAGGTGTTCAGTCCAACATCCAAGCAAGAGGAAATTTCATTCTCATAACCACTCGGGTTCTAGGGCGAGGCTCATGAGAATGGGGGAGGGGAAACGTTTAAACCTTGATTTTTTATCCCTTGTTCGAGTCAAGTGAGCTCATTAATTTCCAGCTTAGTCAACTCAGTTCTAGCTTAGTCGCCCAGCTCACTTCCAGCCGAGTGGTCAGATGAGAGCTTTGTTCTAGTCGAGCAACTCACTTTCAGCCGAGTCGGATGAGCTCACTCTAAGCCTGGGTGGAACATGTGTATGTTGTGGATGTCGTAATTAGCGCAAAATTAGTGCACATGATAAAACTACCGAAGGGGAATTGAGTTTCAAATTTTAAAGCTTCAGCATCAAATATGGGGTCATATCCAAAGTCAAACTGGTATTAATTTGGAAACGATCAAAACTGAGAATATAACACACGTTAATTGATGTCCAGGAAGAGTTTCAAATACTATAAATAAGATCTGTAGCTCATTGTTAGGGGTCCCCAAAAGCACAACAATTCATCTTTTGTTATCTCTGCACCCTGCGTGTTTGTAACTCTATTTTCTCCAATTTATAGAATAAGTTTCATTTTTCTTGCTGTTAGTGTAAATTTAATTTTCTCACACTTAGTGTAGCGAACAAATTATTTTCTCGCACTTAGATTAATTTATTTTTTTTGCAATTTACTTGTGCATTTTATTTTCTTGCAATAGGAGTAATGTAATTTTATACTTATCAACTCGATCAATTTGACCAGTTCATTATGGGTTGATGCGAATTCGCCTTTCCTATACAATCCCATCTTACTACATCAATCATCAACCCTACAACCACATCAACCATTAAATCCATCCCACTTCACTTTCATGAATAATGCCTCATCTAAAGTCCTTTTACCCCAGGCACAGAGAACCTATGACCGAGATGGTTCCTTCCTTGGTACACAGTCACATTAAAAGAAGTCAAATTGAAGCACAACCAAAATCACCAACTCACATCTTTACTTGTTCGGCCTTAGGCCGCGAGTTGGCACGCCAGCATGTAATAAGAAGGACCAAGAGATCTCTTCATAACCTTGAATGAGAGAAACTAAGGACAATTGATTTGTGTCATTGGATCACATAGAGGCTTGAACATATGTGCGATCTCTCCGCATAGTTCCTTTAGTGTGTAAACTAGCCCTACATATAAACCGTAAAAACGAGGAAATTTTTGCTATCCTATATATAGCTATATAAAAGATGAAAGTACAAGCCATTTAGATACTATATGCACTGCCTAATGACAATCATATTTGATGCTTGTTTCCCCTTCTTTTCTTGAGAAAACCTAATAAGTTAAACGGCCCAATATTACATGTGCTAGTTTTTTGTTGTGTCAGATAGCACCAAATCAATTGGAAACAAACATAAGCTAACACATGAATATATCAAAGTAAATGCAAGAACAAAAAAAATAACAAAAACACCAAAAAAAATTCATGAGGTTTGTGGAGCCAAAAATAATTCCAAAAATTTAGAAGATGATACATGGATTTTTTTCTCATAAAAGACAATATTAGAAACATGGGAAGGTGGCTTTGAGTGCAAGTGGGAGATTGTTGGAAATATGCCCATAAAGTCACTCATTTGATGTAATAGCTTTTGGAAACTCTTATTTGTTTAGTGGAAGGGCAAAGCTTAATGTTAGTCATTATTTAATGTTAATCCAAGGAATGTATTTGATCTAAGAGAGAAGTGATCTAAGTTAGATTAATGAGACCTTTCTCTTATGTTCATTCTTAAAACGTTCCTAACCATAGGATTGCCAATAGGACATTGATAATCCGCTAAGGTTAGTATGTGTTATGTTGACTCATACTGGAGTATGACTGGTCTCAAGTCATTTAGTGTTGGACACTGAGACAAACACATAGGTGCTTGAAAGGGTAATCGAGTACACAAAACAATGATAAAAAATGAGTTCTAACATACATGTCGTGTAAGAACTCATAAGTTGCAATATGCAAAGTAGTCTTTTGACCTGAGGCCCTATAGTTATTTAATGGTTAGGTCCTTGATCTTTGACTATGTCAAGGGTATTCGATTGAGAGTGTCCACGGCATTGTTCAGGTCAAGCTATCTAGTCATGTAGGCATGTGAATGTACAACAAGGGATCTCTAACCTTACATGGTGGAAGGAGAATACTCCAAGATATTATTCGGGAGTTTTTGGCCAAAGCATATGAAGATGACTTAAGAAGAATGTTCTAAACCATATTCAAATGAATCATAATGAAAAGTATCACATTGGCTAATAGACATGAAACAAACTATCAATTAAACAAAGTGATTAAGAGTATTGAATTAGAAGGACTATATTGCATAGTAGTTATAAATGATTGGTTCTCCAACCACTTCTTCTTAACTTTGGTAGCCATTACATACTGCTAGACATTCATGGTTTGTGGAAGCTTTGAAGACTAGCAATCACTAATTTTCATCAAAGGGATAATTGAAATGTGGTTCCAATTCACAATCGATTGTTAAGAATAACAATCGCCACTGTCTCGCTAATTAGAACCTAATGGATCGTACACCGAGTAATGATGAATGTAAAGAAATATAAATGGATGGACAAGCAATTAAATAGTTTAATTAAGTATGGTCAAGATTAATTAATTAGTTTATTAATCAAACGAAAGGTTCATAGTGGGCTTTTAAGTTAGCTTCGTGTTTCAGGGCCCAAAATGGTTTTGGACCACAAGGCTAATTAGTTTGAAGTTGTGTAATAACTAAAACAAAATGGGCGATT